ACTCCATCTACCTGCCACCACCTTTCTGAGTGTGACAGAGATCTCTCTTTCCTGAGATGACCCCAGCATCTGGGCTTCCAGGGCCTTCCCTGGCAGGTTCGCGTGACTAATCACACTCCCACTCTTTCATGAAGACAGCTGATCTTTCTCAAGGGGATCCTTCCCTTCAACCTTCAAGCACATAGACGTGTTTTTTACATACAAAAAATTAGAATAAAGCAAAGCCCTGTCATTGCCTGCTCATTTACAGCATCCACCTGAAAAGAGATGGCTATAGTGTCTGCATTTCTCCTTTAACCATAACATTCAGTGTTATGACACTCTGGCATCCCTTTACATTCCTCACCAAAATGGTTTGCCAGTGCTACCAAAGACTTAGAGGGCTAAGTGCTGAGAACACTCCCAGGGGTGGGTACTGCCATTCAGAGTGACTGACCTTCTGCATGCATGCTAGCCCTTTCCCTATGGGAGCTCCTGGCTAGACCTTAGTTCCACTCATCCTTCTTCATAGACCCGCTGGACCAGGACTTAGCAGTCATGGCTCAGGAACACCTTCCCTCACCCTCCCTCATCAGTATCTGTCACATACTCTCCGAATGCCTCGAGGACCCTTCCAGGCATAGGGCTGATTCAGCAGCCATCAGAGTGAATCAGATCTGAGTTTTAAATTCAGGGGCAGGAGCTGACAACTCCCCTCTCCACTGGGAGCTCCTTGAAATAAAGGAATAGCATCTATTTGGTTTTTGTTGTGTGCACAGACTCAGGCACACAAATATTTGTTCACGGTTCCTCTCATGACAGTGGTGTTTCCCAAGAACCACAGGACTCTCTCCTGCAGGACCCTGAAAAGGGAGGCAGAGAGCAAGGCAGATCATTGAAAGCAGCAGGAAAAACCAGGAGGTGTAGACAGCATCTTGCTGACTATGAGCAGAGCTGTGAGGAGCTGCCCCAAACCTTGGAAGCCCCCATTTTAGGGAACAGAGTCCCCAGAGGCCAGAGTGGCTCGGCAGCCCAAGAAACAGCTCTTCCTGGGACCTGGGGTACATCGGTCTTCCTGCCCATCATGTAGATTCTTGAAACAAGCCTCCATGGCTGGAGACTGTTCAAGTGGATGTCACTTTCTTATAGCTAAAAGTTTAAATATATTTTTAAAAATTATAAAAACAGTATAACACTAAATAATAAGGCCCTCCTAGGGGGGAAACCACCAACGAAGCAATTATTTGTAGACAAGTAGAAAAATCTAAAGTAGAAGAAATGAAAACACAAGAAGCCTTATATGACTTTCCCCCAAAGACTTTGAGATCTCTTTTTTTTTGAGATTAGTTGTGTTCTGAAATTGTTCCCAAGAACTGTGCCAAAGGTAGCAAACTTTCCTTGACAGCAATAAGGATTAACACTCACTCAAGACCACCAGACTCTTGTTCTTATGACTCCAAATTTTGTTATCTGTGAGTACTGTACTTCTGACTTTGAGAAAGACTTTCCCTCCCCGCCCCCTTTGGTTTCTAAAGTGTTTGTGTATGGAGAACTCTAAACATTAGGTTTATGTATGGAGAGATCTAAACATTACATTTTACTTTCAAAATGTAATTTACTTAGACGCAATTTTGCCAGACATTCAAAATTGAATGTGAAGTCCAGGAAGATAGCATAGAGGGTAAGGAACTTGGTTTGCACATGGTTGACCTGGGTTCAATCTGCAGCAACCCATATGGTCCCCTGAGCCCTGGGAGGCGTGATCCCTGAGCACAGAGCCAGGAGCAAGCCCTGAGCACTACTGAATGTAACCAAAAAATAAAAAATAAATAAATGAAAGTTAAATGTGAGGGCCAGAGAGATAGCCGAGAGAGTTGGGGCACATGCTTTGCTCTGGGAGGACTGGGTTCGAATCCCAGCATCACATGGTCCTCAAGCACCATCAAGAATGACCTTTCCATGAGACACACTGCTTGGATAACTCCTGAGCCCCACCACACCCAAACCCTAACTAAGTGAAGTTAGGCATAAAGTCTGTGCTTAAGGACCGTTTTGTGATGTCCATGTTTATATAGGTCCCTGAAAGCAAAACATCCCTAACGCTTTAGATTTATTACTGAACTATATAAAATTAAAAACTAATAATTAAAAGAGAAAAAATCCTAGTAGTTTCTAATTCAACCTGGGCATTGTCTTATTTTGGCAGTTTGGGATGAAGTGCATGATCTTCACTTGCCTTTTGGACAAAACAGCAGCTAAGCTGACTTGCAGGTAAGGCTCCAGCATTGCTCATTTTACTTGTCCAGGCAATGTATTCTTTTATATACCAGGTGGCAAAACGCCTCATACACTTTCCTCCATTTGATTTTTAGAGTTTTCACTAAATGATGAACATCAAAGAAGTTAAACATAAAGAAAAAATCAACGTGGAACAGATTACATCGGTCTAGAAAGGTCAGGTTAGGTTCCTTCCTTCCTTCCTTCCTTCCTTCCTTCCTTCCTTCCTTCCTTCCTTCCTTCCTTCCTTCCTTCCCTCCCTCCCTCCCTCCTTCTTTCTTTCTTTCTTTCTTTCTTTCTTTCTTTCTTTCTTTCTTTCTTTCTTTCTTTCTGACAGCGGAAAGAGGGGAGGGTACATACTTGGAAGGCATGTAGCACTGGGTCTGATCCAGTATCTGCCACTTGCTTGTCAACAATGAAAAGTTCTTAGTCTCTCAGAACCGGCTGTCCTCACTGCCAAATGTGGTTGGCAGGATCACTAAGGAAATTAGGTAAAAACAAATAGCTTCTCTATTGAGATGTGTACACAGCTGGCCCTCAGCATTGCATTTGTTCACTGCAGGGAATTTCTGGTAAACGTTTGCACATCATAAAAACGAAAGTCAGGGACTAGAGTAAGAGTACAGTGGACAGGGCACTTGCCTTGTATGTGGCCAACCCAGGTTCAATCCCCGTGCACTCCATATGGTCCCCTGCAAACAACACCAGGTTCGATCCCTGAATGCAGTCAGAAGCAAGTCCTGAGCATCACTGGGTGAGGCCCTACTCTCCCCAGAATAATGAAGGTCAGTCTATGTTTCTGTTAAAGCAATAAAGTAAATTTCTTTTGCTTTTCTACTGGTTCAAGTAAGGACAGAAAGCAATGCATTGTGGTCAAGAATACAATATGGGATTGCTAAGCCCTTGTCTGAGGATTTATTATGTTGTTTGTTGCTGGTTGAGCCTTGAGTGTTAACAACCTCCTGGTGAGACATATAATGTTCACAAATTTTCTTTTACTGAAGGATTTTTTTTTCTTTTTGGGTCACACCCGGCAATTCATAGGGGTCACTCCTGGCTCTGCACTCAGGAATTATCCCTGGCGGTGCTCAGGGGACCATACGGGATGCTGGGAATCGAACCACGTGCAAGGCAAACTCCCTACCTGCTGTGCTATCACTCCAGCCCCTTTTACTGAAGGGTTTTAAAATTTCTTTAACCATTTATTTGCAACAAGCAATATAAAATAAGTTTTTGTGTGCCTGCTAAGGGAGTAGTTGAGAAAATGAGGATAGTGGTCACTCTGGTGGTAGATTTGTGCTGGGACATCAAAAGCCCATAACAACTGTATTATGAACAACTTTGTAAACCATAGTCTTTAACTATAGCTTTCAAGAAAAAAACAGCAAACAACATGGACTACAAAGATTCTGCCACTCTTGGAATGAGAAGTACTATATGCCTTTATCACATGAAGCAAGAGCACTTTTTGAGGGAACGCTGCTGGGGATGGGGCCATAGGGTCATTCTGAAAAGTCTCTACCCAGCAGTGGGGACCCTGGGATTCAATGCCAAAACGGGATTCAATGCCAAAATGGCCTGTGCTCAGTCCCTGAAATAGTTTCATTCCGTTCAGAAGAGACACACCGAGGACAGATCCAGGGCACTGGAAATATTGTTAGGACAGTTCATCTCTGAACACTGGTATGACCCGTAGCTCCCCAGGAAGCCCCAGCAGTGCACGTCTGATCTCAGCGCCCTCCTCCTAACTTTCTTTTGTTTCCTCTGCCTGGTGGGTCTCAGCTGCTCCAGTCCTTGGTGAAGATTTGGCATAGCAGGAGCTAACTGCAGATTCCTCCCTGGCCCCTCCCCTCTGATTTTTAGAGGCCAGACTGGCAATTAGGATTGAAAGTGGCCAGGGAGCCCCCAAGCAACAGTATAGCGGGGAAGGCACTTGCCTGGTACACTGCCTACCCAAGTTCAATCCCTGGCACCCCAATGTGGCCCACCAGGAGTGATTCCTCAGTACAGAGCCAGGAGGAAGCCCTGAGCACTGTCTGGTTGTGGCCATAAAACAAAAACAAAAACAGGAAAAGTGAGCAGTCATTGCCCTTTTCTGCCCCAAAATGACTACAGGTGGAAAGCTTGTAACAAGTGCCATTAATATCTGGAGGGGCAAGGGTGGGGGGTGGCAAAAATAACTAATGTTACTGCTCAACTGCTTTACTGTGGAAAAGACCGGATTTCTTTTGCAGTTGTATCACTGGCTGGTAATGAGTTTTCTCTTCTTACATTTGTTAACCGACTAAAAAAAAATCAAGGAGTAAATGAAACAAACTAAGACTTCAGTTTGGCATTCATTCATTAGGGCAGGTGATTTGTGGAATAAATCTGGAAAGGCAGAGAAGTCACTTGATAATGTCTGGGAACCAGGGGACAGAGCAACCCAGGGGCGCAGTGGCACACTAGGGTAGGGACCACCTACCTCAGTGGGCTGCCTGCATTCTCTCTCCAGAATATGTAAAGTTTTGAATGGGACCCAGGCCCAGCAAGATGTCTGTCTTTCACTCTGAGATTTGAATCAATGGACACAGTTTGCTGACTATGCACACAACAAAAGGGCTTTTATGTCCTGCCAGAGGCTGGATAAAAGAGCTCACACTGTAATAAGCCCGGTGTAGAGAGGGACTTAGCTACCTTTGCCAAAGGCAGGAAGGTTTTTGAAAAAGGCCACAGCCCTGGGGGCTCTGGCGCAGCTCACTCACAGTGGGGCTCATAGGGCGGGGGAGGGTCTCCACAGGGCACACACTCCAGATCTTGAAAGCCCACGAGTTTTGTCTTCCTGTAGAATCTGGAAGAGAAAAGGAAATAATCATTGGTATGCCAACAAAATAATCTGGCAGCGAACTCCTGGTGGTAGCAAACAGATCTATGTCAGAAATGACAGGGTGGTCTCTATTACCATGCCTCTGTGGTGCAGAAAATAGAAAAGTTGTCAAAGGGAACTTTTATATACTTCTGTGTAAAATATGACACTATCTTTTACATAAAATTTACAGTATCTTAGACACATCCTTGGATAAACGGTGGCATCTACTCAGCCCTGGCTCCGCTCTACTGAGATGTGAGTGTTGGGGAGGGAATATAAAAGCCAGTCAGCCACTTGGCTTTTGACATATTGTAATCAAAAAAGTAAATACGTATTACTTTTTAATATTTGAAACCCAGAGACCAAAGAATTTAGGCAAACTCTAAGAGAAAGGAAAAAACGGAGGGAGAAACTTAAGGAATCTGGATTTAAGGCCATCTATCTAGGCATGAAAAGAAACCCAGGAAGGAGCAAGAGTAGACACGGTTAATATCTCTAACCACATATGCATGATCGCAAGTACTAAAACTGTCTGCAACTGGACTTTCAGTAGTGAGCTTAATGTCACATATACACGTGTTATATAACATATATGATGCACACCTGAAATTTCAGCAATGTTAGCAATGGCACGTACTTCAACACAAATGAGCCAAAAAGACTTTTTAAAAAGTCTCTTATTTACAATGGGCAAAAGGACAATGAAGGATACTTAAATGAGCATATTGTCTATAGTGGAAATCTGTAGCATAGTATAGGAGTAAAATTCTGTTTTGCAGGTAGTTTGATCCCTGAGCACTGCTAGGAGTGACCCCTGAGCCCAGAGTCAGGAGTAAGCTGGAGTAAACTCTGGCAATGAGTGTGGTCCAAAAGAAAAAAATAAATAAATAGCTTGAGAGATCTGCAAATCAATGTCATTCAACTTTCTCTATGGCTTTGGGACAGAAACATTTCCAACCCTGCTTTCTGACCAAGTGAGATACAAGACAAAAAGGATCAAAGGGAGAACAGAGACACATACAAGGTTTCTGGCTAAACTGATTTTTAGAGGTGACCTTCAAATTTGATTGCAGATTATCAACTAGCTAAAGCAAAAAAGGAACCTGCACTGAAACTTCACTTACTGTTTGGTGAGAGGCAGGATAAAAAGTAAAGCTCATGTACCCTAATTTTTCTCTAAAACTGAATATGCGGGGAATTGTTTTAATTGAACTGAATCCATAAGTTAGCTTAATGGATACCGTGTTTTGAGATTATTTTAAGAAAGGATGGGTAACAACTGTTCATTCTTCAGCCATGAAACACACAGTTCTGGATGGACACCAAATGCCATGGCCTCATTCTGGCCTCATTCTGGCTTCAGAGCGATCCTCCTTAATGCATTCACTATGTTTTAAGTGGGACAATCCATGGGGTCAAACTTTTTGCAGAGCATATGCCTGTTACCGAATGAGAACTTGATTCTCTCCTGCCCTCTTGCCTGCACTCTGCCTGTCCACCGGGTCCTCCTGCTGTTAGTGTTTTTGCAGCAACCCACATCAATGGCCCCTAAAACCCTAACAAGTGCCAGCAAAAAGTGGAGGCAATCTGCGCCGAGGCAAGAAGAGAGGGTGAAGCTGAGAAAACAGAACAAGGCAACTTATTCAGCTTTCAGGAGTCAGGGCTGATGGGGAACCAAGGAAGAAAAGTAGGCATGGAGCAACAGTACAGTGAGTAGGGCGCTTGTCTTGCATGTGGCAGACCTGGGTTTGATCCCTAGCATGACATATTCTTCTCAAGTGCTACCAGGAGTGACCCCTGAGTACAGAACCAGGAGTAAGCCCCGACCACCCCCAGATATAGCTCCAAATCAAACAAATAAAAGGAATGGGTGCAGGAGCAGAATAGGCAAAGCAGCCCTTATGATTAGTACTAGGGAAATCAGACATGTGGTAAAGTATGGGGGCCAAACAGTGGAAGCCCAGGCTTCCCAGACGCAAGTCTGTGACCTGTACCCACTGCAAGAGTCCATCTTCTTCACAGGAAGGGGCTGATAGTGACCCTCTTTTATAGAGTGGCTGGTGATGAATTAAACTTATTTGAAGACAGGTCCCAGCACATAATAAACGCTCAATACATATTCATGTCCCTTTAGCAGAGAAGGGGTGAGAGCGTGAGAGCCAGGAGAGTGGGGAAGGCACACAGGACACATGAACAGTCCTGCAACATTTTTCACTGGCCCCATAACATTAAATAAGCCACAATGGCAAATATTTATTTTTCACTTATGAACTGGATCTCTCTGGACTTTATATCCTTTTTTTGGTAAGTATAAAGTGGACAAGGAAAGCCTCTTGAACAAATGATGTTGGAAAAACTGGTCAGACACATGCAAAAAAAAAAAAACTCAACAAGTATTTAAATCATGGTAAATCATGGCATCTTAATAAAATAAAAAGATGATAAATTAATAAAATAAAATAAACCATAAAAAATTAACCCAGACTCCTAGCACCATGCACAAAAGTCAAATAAAAAAATCAGGGGATTTCAGGGAATGTGGAGTAATAGTACAACAGATAGGGACTTGCCTTGCATGCGGATGACCCACTTTGATACACAAAATCCCATATGGTCCCCCAAGTCCCACCAGAAGTGATCCCTCAGTGCAGAGCCAGGAGTAAGCTGATTACTACCAGGTGTGCCCCACAAACAACAAAAAGATCTCAGTATCAAACCTGAATTCATAAATTACATTGGGGAAAATATAGGCAGAATTCTCCATGGCATTAAAGTAGAGGGACCTTTAAGGAGTCAATGCCATTGGCCATGGAAAGAGAAGCAAAGCTAAACAAACAGGACTATATATAAATTAAAGAGCTTCTGTACCTCAGAGGAAGTGATAACCAAAATACAAAGACACCGTATGTACTGGGGGAAATTATTTGCCCAGCAGTCATTTAATAATGGGCATTATATTGTTAACCTCCTGGTAATTCGTTTCTCTTAATCACTTTAATTCTGGGCATCAAGGATTGACAACTTCCATGCTGTACCTGCAATTAGGGAGAAAACCTTCTGGGACCTGATGGGCTGACCTGAACTGACTGAGAGATTCACTTAGGGCTGACTTTGGGATGCCCTATGGACTCATCTATGACTGACCTATGGACAGATCTATGACTGACTTATAGACTGGCCTATCAACTGACCGGTGGGCTAACCTACAGCTGACCTATTGACTGACCTGTGAACAGGTCTACACGCTGACCTATAGATGACAGAAGGCCCTTCTCTGAGTGAGACGGAGCCTCTCCAGGCTTTCCTCATGCTTTACGCCATTCATTGTCATCTGAGCGCATCTCTGACTTTGAGGCCGTTTTTCTTGAAACAACATATAAGCTTCATATTTCCTTTCTGTCTTGAGTTTCCTGCCTGTAAAACAGGTTTTGACTATTTGCCTTCTTCTCACAAATAGAATCAACTTGACACACTCTCCAAATACTCTGGAAGACGTGGGTAAAAGTCACTCTATAATTACTGCCTGCTCCACACATTCACGCTGGCTTAGAAAGGATGTAATTTTAAACTAATCGTATAAATAAACTTTGAAACATCACTGAAACGTCTATTCAATGACAACTTTCCCACATCTTGGCATATATTTAGAGAGTGAGCAAACACTGGAGAAACGAAAGAAGTAACAAATGAGGAAAAGCACAGGGAAGCCTTCTGGAGAGGCGCCCTGGGGAGGCTTCCTTGGCAGCTTCCTTTGCCGGTCCAAGTCCCTGGGTCTCCTCCTCTTCTCTGTTCCAGGCAAGGCCCACCTCAGTGCTGTATCTCCTATAAAACTCCTCTTCTTCTTGACCCCGTAAAGAAGAGAAAAGACTTGCAAAGATAAGACTTTTATCAGAATCGTAGTACAGGAATGAGAGTGATGGCCAGAGGTTCAGTTTCTTTTCTGCAGTTAGATTTGCACAAGTCTCACTGGGCATGGTCCAAAAGTTTGGGTCATGGTACAGACATAGAGTTAGAGCAAAGAGGCCACAAGGCCATACCATTTCAAAACAGTGACAGAGAAAATGAGATCTCATTCACATACCATTCATGGTTCCCACTTAGTTGCATGATTAGGGGCTGGGGAGATCATGCAAGTGGCAGGGTACATGCTTAGTATGAGTAGGGGTCTGGGTTCGAGCCCCGACACTGATTGGCTCCTCTGAGCTCAACCAGGCAGAGCCCAAGTGTCCTTCAATAACACCCGGAATAGCTCCAGGACTACCAGCATTGCTGAATGTTGCCCTAGAAAATGTGTATTTTAAACAGGTACAATAAAGTCTTCGATATATCCACAGAGTTATAAAACCATCATGTACAATCATAATCTAGTTTGAAGCATTTTTATAATATCAAGAGGGAAACTCAATACCTTTGTTTCCTCTCCCCATTTTCCCAAAGTTTCCAACATTACTAATGTATATTCTATCTCTCTATATTTGTTTGTTCTGAATATTTCATATAAATAGAATCACAAACTATGCAGTTTTTCATCTTTACTCTCCTTCCCTTAGCATAAATATTTTCAATCCATGCTGGAGCATGTGTCAGTTCTTTACTTCTTTTCATGACTGAATAATATTCCATCACTTGCCCCATTATCCAGTTACTGAGCATTTGGAAGGTTTACATTTTCTGACTATTATACATGACATATAGTGCCTCCATGGATTTTCTGGGAACGAGTTTTTGCATGCACATATTTTCAACTCTTTTTGCTATCTACCTAAGAACAAGTACTACTGGGTCACGTAAGTTTTCAAGGACTGTTTCTACAGTGGCTGCACACTTGACATTCTGGCCCACAGTATCAGGGGGTCATGGCATTTCCTCATCCCACCAACACTTGTGTTGGCTGCAGCCTCTTAGAAGGTGTATTATATCTATGTGTGTGTGCACTATCATGATTTCCGGTAGTAACAATACTCATGTATTGGGCATATGATGCCAGAACATTCTACCCAGCAGTAGAAAGTCAGTGTCCATTCCTGCAACTCCCTCCCTCACCTCTAGGTCCCTTCTAATGTCCCAGTCCTTGCCGTCCCCTCCATTGCATCCTCCACTCCTGAATGGCTTCAATTCACATTTCCAAATGGGTCATGACATTAAGATCTCTCTCCGTGTCCTCAGTGCCATTTCTATGCCAACTTTGGAGAAGTGTTTACTTTAGTCCTTAACTCAGGTTTCACTTCACTGGGTTGTGTGTCTTTTATTATGAAATCTAAGAGTTCTTTATGTAGGCCATAAAACTGGTCTTCTCACCAAGATAATTTCCAAGTGGTTTCTCTCACTTTGTGGATTTTGTTTTTGTTAGTTTAGTTTAGGTTCTCTGGTTTGGAGGACAAACTTGGTATTCAGGGGCTATCCCTGGTTCTGTGTCCAAGAACTGTGTAGTGCAGGGAACTGAACTCCAGCCTTCTGCGTACAAAACACATGCTCAGCCCACTGAGTTACCTCTCGGCCTCTGCCCTTCCTCTCCCTCCCTCCCTCCCTCTCTCCCTCCTTCCCTTCCTTCCTTTTGTTCATGGGGAGGGCACACTTGATGATGCTCAGGGTTTACTCCTTGCTCTGCACTCAGAAATTACTCCTGGAGGTCCTTGGGGAAACATATTGGATGCTGGGGACAAAACCCAGGTCAGCTGTGTGCCAGGCAAGTGCCCTTCCTGCTGTATTATCTCTCCAGCACCTCTTCTTTTCTTTTTTATTTTTGATAGCATTCCTTGAAATCTCAAATTTTTTTTAAATGCAGGAGTACTGCTATTTATTCAGCCACTGATTAAGATGACTGAATGAAAGCCCACATGTTTTAACTTGGTTGAATCCTAATGATGCCTTTTCTTCTGTTGTGGCTGTTGTGGTTGTTGTGGTTCAGTCACTACTTATGCCTGTCTGAGTGCTGAGGCACTGCATAGGTTCCTGCTGATCAACAAGGGTGTATGTGCAGATTCTGTACTTGGGACCAGAGCTTTAGCACCTGTTCTGGCCTCAGCCCCAGAAACAAAACTGAGCCGTTTGGTCCCACCCATCCTAATCCTAGGGACTTGCTCTGGGGATTCTGCAGAATTCCTCCTTGCAGTGACTGGACATGGGCTCTACCTACTGTCATCATCCAGGATGTGGGCCCAGCATCACACATAATCTTACCTGAGTAACATTAATCCTGTGTCAAGACTCACGTTCTGTGCTTACAAACATTATGAAAACTGTAGGAAAGAATTCATATGAAAGGCTTCTGCAGATGCCTGGCTCATTCTAATAGACAAGTGCCTGCTCCAGGGAAGCTGCTGTGTCAGCTCTGCCCGAAAGGCGGGCTTCCCTGGCTCCAGGCATTCTAACTCTTCCTCCTGGCTCTGATTGTCACGTGGGCCCATGCTCTATCCGTGAAGCATCTATTTTGTGTTGCTTCTCCCTTCTGACCAGCTGGGTCCAACTTCCTTTCTCCCAGGCCTTGTCCAGGCCTCCCTGGGCCCAGCTTTTCATCCCCTCTCTGTCTTCCCAATACTTGGACTGTCTGGCCTATGACCGGAAGGCACCTCGAAGCACTTCAGCCCTTCCAATGCCCCCTCCTGCCTCTCTCCATTCTCCTTGTCCAACTCTGTCTATCCCTGGGATCCGAGACACATACATACAGTGAAGGCCAGTTTGCACTGGCATGCCCACTTCTGCCCCTTCTGGCTTCATGTTTCATTCACTCACTCCTTTCCCTGCTTTTGCTCAATGTCTGCTGTTTCTTATGAAGACCAGACTTGTGTCCACCTTTGGGACTGCCTCCATGGGTCCCTATGTACTACATGCAAGTCAATGTTCCCCATGGAAAAAAAAATCTGCTCAGTTGGTGATCTCATCTCCTCCTCATCAACCCCCCCCCCCCATAAAAGTGGTCACAGTGCACACCTGCCTGCCTTCTACTGGGGAACGACAGCTGTGCCCCTTACATGGGGTCCAACGTGCCTCCCCAAGAGCAACCAGCACCTCTTCGGCATAATTTACTTCTTTATCACTTACTGTCTAGGTGTTTCCCTGTTGTTCTGTCACTCGAGCTCCCTTATAGGAAATTTTCATGCGATCCCAGGAATATAGATATGTAAAATATAGGTAAGTAAATGAATCAAATCTTTCCTCATAATAAATCATGAAGGTATTCATTTTTACCTCATCTTGGCTTTTTGAGCTCCTTCTGGAGATGTTTGGGGTGTATTCTGAGCTTAGGGCTCTGGAGTCCCTCCTGACATTGCTCAGGGGACCACATGGCACTGGGGATTGAACCCAGACCTCTTACTTAAAGAGTCTGTGCTCCAGCCCCTTGAGTTATCTATTTAACTCAAGGCATTTACTTTAAAGCAAGCTTTTCACTCCTCCCACCTCCAGTTATGTGACCCACACAGAAGCTTGACCTAAGCAAGAGTTCAGAGGGACTCCATGAATCTTTACTGGTAAGGGCTGACCTGTCCTTTTGGACTTCTCTGGTGGCTAGTGAGGAAAGGCACCACCAAAGGACAGATGTTTGTTTAACTTCTTTTGTGAAGTTTGTGCTTCACTTGGTTTTGGATGTGGAGAAACACCTTAGGTTTTCATGACATTGATCCTTGCTAGCATGTCCGTTCATTTTATTTGTAAAGTGCTTGTCATGACATGTAGCAGTAGAGAAGCTGGTGTATCAAGACAAAAAACAAAAACAAAACAAAACAACAGCATTTGGAAAATGTGTCCAGGTCCGTATGGGTGTGCATGTATGGTCTGACAATGAACACGAAAATACCTGCTCAAACAACAAACATACGTTCAGGAGAAATTCAGCCCAACATACCCCGGCAGGCAGTCCCCGCAGACAGCGTCGCTGGTGGCGGAGCAGTTGGCCTTCTGGAAGCGGCTCACCAGGGCACAGTCCAGGCAGGGTTTGCACTTCTGGAAGCCCCAGTCCTCCTTGAACCTGTGTGGCCGGCATGTCACGCACTGAGCATCCTCCCCATAGCCAAAGCCACATTCCTGCAGGGATTAGCAAGCCAGAGAGAGAGAGAGAAAGAGCGATTCAGACACTGCGAGCATGAAAAGGAAAGAGAGCTGGGATGAAACGGAGACCTGGTCTAATAATTACTGAGTGTGGCCTTCCTCAATACAAAGGCAGCCTTTTCAGCAAGTTCAAATGTGCCTCCCGCTGCTAATAATCTCCCTTACGAAGATAAGTATACACTTAGTCATCCACTTTATTCAAGAAGCCACGAGCATTTAAATAACAAAGGCTCCCCAGGCCCCCCACTGCTGCATTATTGCCAGCTTAGGGCAGAATTATGGCACTTTCTTCCTTTTAATGAAACCAGCCATATGAACACGTAGAGGCTCAAATCAGGGACACAGCCAGACACTGATGCACTGAACAAGGGCAATCAAGTAAGAAATATCATAAACGTCCATGCCTGGAAATCTGTGCAGGGTCAGAAAGCTTGGGAATTAGCAGTTTCAAATTGTCTGATGGTAGAAAGGGTCCTATATGCTCCATAAACAAACATCTTGTTCTTGTCTGGATAAACATGTGGGACAGCATAGGGTTTCAGCACCCCGTGGCTTGGACATCAGGAAGGACCGTTTTCTCTAAGGCCAGGGAGAGCAAGTGGCTCCCTGTCTGCCACATGACCATATGCACAGGGCTGAGAATAACCAATTCAGAGGAAAGTGATTTATCATTCAACTACCGCCTGTCTATAAATGATGCACAGATATAATCAAAAAGTTTAAAAACCAAGTTCTAATACACAATCAATTTACAGGATGGATTTCCAGTCTTATAAGTGTGATTCCATTTCTCATACAATTATATATATATTTGCTAATATCTAGTGCATACTAAGTTTATAATGGGCTGGAGCAATAGCACAACGAGTAGGACATTTGCCTTGCACACTGCCAACCTGGGTTCGATTCCTCCATCCCTCTCAGAGAGCCTGGCAAGCTCCCCATGGCGTATTTGATATGCCAAAAACAGTAACAACAAATCTCACAATGGAGACGTTACTGGTGCCCGCTTGAGCAAATAGATGAACAATGGGAGGACAGTGCTACAGTGATACTAAGTTTATGGCACATTTTCTTTTCATTTATTCACAGTAAATATTCTTTTCATTTATTTACTCGATCCCAACAGAGGAAACACCAACATATTTCCACTTCATGGATAGGGGCTCCAGGAATATCTTGGCTGCAGTGACACAGCTAACCTAAGAACTAGGTTTTGAACCTCACAGTTTAATCACCCTGGACTTAGAGCACCAGATCTCTGGGTCTGTGGGAAACTTTACCTGATGTTTACAGAGGATGATGTCTGAAAGGTCACACAGCAAAGGCTAAACACTGATTATCTGTGTTTTGTGAGTGTTTCTAACCATGGTCATAAACATTGATCAAAGGGTTAAAGAAGGGTCAGAACAACAGTACAATGGGTATGGCATTTGCTTTGTATGTGAATGACCAAGGTTCAATCTCCAGCATCCCATATGGTCCCCCACTCACTGCCAGAAGTAATTCCTATAAGCAGAGCCAGGAGTAAGCCCTGAGCATTGACAGGTGTGGCTCAAAAAAACAAACAAAAACCCAAACAAAGCAAAACAAAAAACTCACAAAGGCCTGAGAGAGCTTCATGGGTTGAAGTCAGGCTTTGGTGGTTTGTGGCTGGCACCCATCTGAGACTGGGTTATATGAACCTTGCTGGGACTGACCCCCAAGCATGTAGCCAGGAGTAGTCCTCCAGTACTGCTGAGTATGTGATATTTCCTTTCCACAAAACAACAACATCGACAAAAGACAAGTCAGTAAAACAGTAGGCAGAAGCTTATCAGCTCCAAGATGAAGACCTGTACAGACAATGTGCTGAGCAAGTCCCCTGGAAAATGGATTCCTAGTTTCTGAACATCTCCATGTCCTGTGTAAACTACAGAGGCTGGGATGTGTGCCCAGCTACTTCAATATCCCTGCTTGTCTATAAAATGTATGCGTCTTAAGCCCTTTCTCTCTCTCTCTCTCTCTCTCTCTCTCTCTCTCTCTCTCTCTCTCTCTCTCCACCCACACACACACACACACACACACACACACAAAATCAACTGAGCAGTACTTCTGTGGCCAAGATTGATATAAGAACCAACAAAAAGATACAATTCCATTCACTCAATAAACAGTAAAGGAAATTAATTCATCACCTGTCAATCTACGTTTCTCTCTCTTTCGCTCTTTCTCCCTCTGTCCCTTCCTCCGTTCCTCCCCTCCTCCCTCCCTTCCTTCTTTCCTTCCTTCCTTTCTCCCCCACCCCTTTCTTTCTTTTGGTTTGACACCTGGCAGTGCTCAGCACACCATATGGGAAGCCAGGGGACTGAACATGGATCACAAAACATGGACCAAATGCGAAGTACCCATTGTACTATCAACTCGTTCACTATTTTTGGTGGGTTGGGGGACATACCTAGTGGTGCTCAGGGGTAACTGCTGGCTCTGCACTCAGGAATCTCTCCTGCCAGGCTCTGGGGACCATATGGGATGCTTGGGATTGAACCCGGATGGGCCACATGCAAGGCAAGTGCCTTACCGTTGGTTCTATCTAACTCTGGTCTCTCAACTCATTCATATTTGGAAGGAGCCATGTCCCAGTTCCTCCGCCTGTCCTTCCAAGGTACAGGGATATGCATAACAAAGAGTAGGGGAAGGGGAAAAAAGCAGGGGGAAGATCAGCAGTATTCTAATCCTGAGCACTCTTGACTACTGACAAAATGGGAAACATGTTATTTAAGCAACAAATCCACAAATTAAAAGTTCTTGAAAATGTTACCAAGGAATATTTTAGAGGAACAGTGGCAGAAACAAACACAAAGTGTCTTATCACCTTTATAATTTGGCAACCACAACTTTTGCATACACATACACACACACACATACTCACACACACACATTAATCTGCAAGGAGACTTTATTACTCTACTATTCAGAAAAGCAATACATGCTTTTTATTTATTTCTGGTTTGGGTCATACCTAACAGTGCTCAAGGTTTACCCCTGGCTCTGCGCTCAGGGATCACTCTTGGCAGGGCTCAGGGGACTATATAGGGTGCCAGGGATTGAAAGCAGGATAGCCACATGGAAGAACAAGCACTTTAGCCCCTGTACTACGTCTCCAGCCCGTGTGTGTGTGTGTGTGTGTGTGTGTGTGTGTGTGTGTGTGTATGTGTACACATAATTTTATTTTATTTTTTCAAACAACTTGTCTTGAGATTGGCAGTAGTTCTCTGGGGGAGGTGACCTTGAATTTTCTGGTGTGTTGTACACAGACAATGCGGCTCTGTGAGGGGAAAGAGTGGTACTGTGGCTGAGTCCTTGAGTTGCTGCTAGAGAGTGGTGTAAAGCCGAAGGCTCTGAATCTCTAAAGCAGCCTCCCACTCGATCTGTCCAGATCAAAGTGCGCATGACACTGGGGTGGAAACATCCCTATTCACAGACTCAGCATCTCCCTCTAAGAGGTCCTTGCAAAAGCAACATTTCAAAGCCACACTTTGATCCAAGCAGCTGGGATTTTAAGAGTCTCACTCCAAGTCAGCAAGCACAAAGGACAGGAAAAGGGAGAGGCAGGGAAGAAAAACAGGGCAGGGATAAAGGAGACAGAGAAAGAGGTATTCAGTGAGAGAAAGGTCTGGGAGTCAGTTTCACATGCCAGATTTGCATGAAAGGAAAGTGTGTTTCCCTACACTGGAAGACACTTTTCCCGACACTGAACAGACACTTCCTCTGCGTTGTTCTGGGAACTTGTGGTTCCTTCATCTGTGAAATGGGCATGAAATTTCTGCCCAGCAAAGGTTACTCTGAGGACTAACAGAAGCACATATAAAGTCTCTGAATAAATTCAGCAGATTAGGCATTCATAAAATGAATAATTCCAAAGGTGATATTCTGGATTCTCTGTGACCCAATAAACCAAGACTGCTAAATCAAATATAAGTATAACGTTGGAGAATAAGAGACTCTTCAGACTCCAGTTTTATCTACTTGAAACATCATTCTCCATCTAAAGTACTTCGACTGGATTAAAAAAAAAGAAATTCTTTGAAACAATCAAAATGATCTCCCTTTTGCTTTTTAAATTTCTGGTTTTGGGGACCACACGGGGCAGTGCTCAGGAGACCATATGGGGAACTGGGGATGGAACCTGCACTGCTCAAGCTCAGGCCAAGGGCCCTGCTTGCTATACTATGTCTTGGTCCCTTACTTCCGTTCTAAAAACAGGAGAGGCCAAGAGAGAGGATAGTAGTTAGGGCACATGCTCAGCAGGTGACCCCAGGATCCTGGCATTGCAGGTCTGACCAGCACCACATCCTCGAATCCTTACACTCACCTGCTGGTCTGGTTAACTGAGAGTTGCTGGTGGGGCCCTGGATCTCTTGGGCACCACTTGCAATTCCTCTACTTCTGTTCCCCAAATTTAAACAAGAACATAAATCTCAATCTCTCCTAGTTGGATCAACTACTGTATTTGGTTGTGGTAGGAACAACTATGGCACCTCTAAGGCAGTTTTGGTTTGTAAATGACATACCAATTTGCTTCCTTTCCCCATGCCTGAGATGCTGGATGAACAAACTTGAAACTATAAACAGCTGCTCTGATTCTCTCACTTCTTTTGCAAAAGAACCTACACTTAGCGTTGAGATGAGCCTGGTGCTTGGTTTCAGACACTTGCCTGCACTCCAGCATTTGTACTAGAGAGAGAGAACTGGGACCAACGTGCTGTCTCCATGATGCTGTCTGTGCCCCATCCAGGTCTTTATCATTTGTCAAATGAGTATTTCACAGAGCTACTTTGTTGTCATTTCAGTGTATACCCAACCAAAGAATGTATAGAAAGAAGACAAAAGCCAAGTCCAAGTGCTTTATAATTAGCCTTCACTAACTGGATATTCACTTACTATTTCTTTTTTTGTTTGTTTGTTTTGTGGCCACACCCAGCAGTGCTCAGGGC